GATGGAGAGCTACAAGGCAGAAAAAGACCAAATCTCAGTTCAGGTACTGGGGCAGAAGTGTTCCCTCTTATTCAGCCTCCTGATTAACTTGATTGAATGAAGCCCATCCACATCAGGGAAGGCAATCTGCTTTCCTCAGTGTGTCAATAAAAATTTTATTTCACCCAGAAAAACCCTCACTGACACACCCAAAATAATTTTTTACCAAATATCTGAGCACTCTGTGGCTCAATCAAGTTGACATATGAAATAAATCATCAGAGCATCCAATTTATTTGCTTAAGAATCTGTACTTTCCAGCTCCCTGCTCATGTATCTGTGAAGGCAGTAGAAGATGGTCCAAGTGCTTAGACCCCTGCCACCCATATGGGAGACCTGGATGGAGTTCCAGGAACCTGGCTTTGGCCTGGGCCATTTTTGGCCATTGCAAGCCATTTGGGGAATCAACCAGTGAATCAAAGTACTTCTCTGTTTCTCCTTCACTCGCTTGCTCTCTCTCTCTCTCTCCGCTTTTCAAATAAATAAATAAATTTTTCTTTAAAAAAGAATCTGAGAGAAGGGGGGGCGGAGCCAAGATGGCGGAATAGTGAGGGCGCGCACCGATAGTCCGGGAAAATTTAGTTTAATAAAAGGGGAGTTACGGTAGCCTCAGAAAAAGGACCAGGAAAATATTGCAGAGGAAACTCTTCTGGATCTAGTGGCTGTGAATCGGAGGACCTACTGGGAGAACAAGGTCGCCCACCATGCGGAAGCCAAGCCGCAGGAGCCGCAGGGTCTGCGCGCCAGTGCAGGAAGGGGAGTGCATGTCACACAGACACCAGCGGGGAGAGTTGGGATGCCCAGGGCTCCGAGTCCACACATCGGCGCTGGAAGGGGAGCTCTCTGCTATGGCCTGGGAAAGCAGTAGAAGATGGCCCAAGTCCTTGGGCCCCTGCACCTGCGTGGGAGACCCAGAAGAAGCTCCTGGTTCCTGGCTTCACATCGGCGAAGCTCCGGCCATTGCAGCCATCTGGGGAGTGAACCAGAGGATGGAAGACCTCTCCCTCTCTCTGCCTCTCTCTCCCTCTCTGTGTAACTCTAACTTTCAAGTAAATTAATAAAAAATCTTGACAAAAAAAAAAAGAATCTGAATCTTTTGTCCTGTGGAATTTGCATTGCATATTTTGATGGCTGTATTTTTACATTGTGTTCCACTGGCCACTCTCCTACACTTCAAATTTGTATTAGATTTAGAGACTTCATAAGCTATAGTTATGTCTAAGTGCTCACAAAAGACGTATCATTCTTGGGTTTTTCTTTAAAGTTAATTAAGTTTCTCAAAAAAATATATAAATTAAACCTCATAAAGGTTTAATTTTATTGAATTAAAAGTATCTTTTTTTCCTTATTGTAAAAATAATCCTTCTGGTGTTCTGTTGCACAGTAGGGTGACAATAGTTAATGGCCGGTGCCGCGGCTCACTAGGCTAATCCTCCGCCTTGTGGCGCCGGCACACCGGGTTCTAGTCCCGGCCGGGGCGCCGGATTCTGTCCTGGTTGCCCCTCTTCCAGGCCAGCTCTCTGCTGTGGCCAGGGAGTGCAGTGGAGGATGGCCCACTGCACTCCCTGGCTTGGGCCCTGCACCCCATGGGAGACCAGGAGAAGCACCTGGCTCCTGGCTTCGGGTCAGCGCTGTGTGCCGGCCGCAGTGCGCCGGCCACGGCGGCCATTGGAGGGTGAACCAACGGCAAAGGAAGACCTTTCTCTCTGTCTCTCTCTCTCACTGTCCACTTTGCCTGTCAAAAAAATAAATAAATAAAAAAATAAAAAAGAATAACATACTGTATTTTTATAAATAGCTTGAAGAAAGGCTTTTGAATGTTCACACTACAAAGAAATCTTGAATATAAAAAACAATGGATGGTAATTATCCTAATTTGATCATTAAATTCTGTGCATGTACTGAAATATTACATTGTACCCCATAAATATGTACAATTGTTTGTCAATCAAAACAATCTAAAAGATTCAGAGACTTCACCAATTTCAAATTTGGGACAAAATATATTTTGTTGCTTATTCCTATAATATTATACCAGAAGTGTCACTGTGTCACATTGTTTGTATGACATTAAGACTGATTACTAGGTTCAAGTATTATTAGCCTATCAACCCATTATAAACTTTTCCATCTTCCTTACACATCAAATTTTGCATCCACTGAAGTTCATTGAATAGGTTTTCATTTCATTAAAGTTTGCAAAAAAGTGATGTATTTTGAAAGTGAGTTATGCAGAGAAAGGGATGGCAGTGTGATAGTCTCCAGGAACACTGGCCGGAGGGCTGTGTGCAGTGCGGAGCCACTCCTGCTGCTGGCTGCCTCACACCGGGAACCTTCTCAGGCCAGCTCCAGGCAGCCTTCCGGGAGCCACCTCTTCTGGTGGCTGCCAACCCCAGGGCTGAGCACCAGCCTCACACAGAGGCATCTTAACTGAACTTGCCTTCCGGTGCTCTATGTAGCCGAGACTCTCCTCTGTGCTGTGTGGACATCGGCAGCCCGTGCAACAATAAAGGAGCTCACTCGGTGAGTCTGGTGTGGTGGATGCTGGCCCGGGAAGTTTTGCACATGCGTGTTACTGTCTCCCATGAGCACCCACGGGAGGTCAGGCCTGACTTCTCCTTCCACAGAGATGCTGAGGAGATTGAAAAAGACGAGCAGGCAGCTCCCAAGAAAGCAGTGACTGGGGAGCAGTTTCGGGTGCATGGATGGCCCCAGCTCCTGAGTCTACTGGTACTCAGCCTGGACTTGCAGATTGGTTTGAAGGCCTGGAGATGCCCTCAGGGCCTACTCAGCTGTTCCCTACTGCAGACCGGAGCCCTCTGTCTCCCCCTAAGCCTGGGCCACAGCTCCCACTGCTCAGGCCACAGAATGGGTAGAGGCACGAGCCCTGAGTGGTCTCACACTGCTGTTCCCAGCATCTAAAGCAACACGGGAAGGAAGTTGATGGAAAATGAGCAGCGGTGGTGTTTTTTTAAAGACAGCACTATGTACCTTTATTTCCTTACTCTGACCCTTCCTGATGCCTTGCCCCTGTGTCCATAGATACTCGTCATTCTTAAGAACTTTCTGATGGCACAGGATTGTGTAGTGTTGTCATGGTTTACTCACCTGCACTTTTTTTAAGATTTATTTATTTATTTGAATGTCAGAGTTACACACAGAGAGGAGAGGGAAGAGAGAGAGGTCTTCTATCCACTGGTTCACTCCCCAGATGGCCGCATCCGAAGCCAGGAGTCAGGACCTTCTTCCAGGTCTCCCACATGGGTGCAGGGGCCCAAAGACTTGGGCCATCCTCTAATACTTTCACAGGCCATAGCAGAGAGCTGGATTGGAAGTGGAACAGCCAGGACTCGAACCGGTGCCCATATGGGATGCCGGCACTGCAGGTGGTGGCTTTACCCACTATGCCACAGTGCCGGCCCTCACTTGGACTTTTTTGATGGACGTATAAATTTCTCTTAATCCTTTGGAATAAAAATCCCTCCATATGTCTGTCTGCACATGTGTCCCTATGTGTATGTGTGGGCATTGTGTTTTATTCTTGTAGCTCTTTAACGAAGGGGCAGGAGTTTGAGACAGCAGTGAGGATGGTCCTTGGGATCCCTGCTTTCCACGTCACAGTGCCTGGTTCTAGTCCCAGCTCCTCTGCTTTCTTTTTTTTTAATGTGACAGATAAAGTGAGAGAGAGAGAGACAGAGAGAAAGGTCTTCCTTCCGTTGGTTCACCCCCCAAATGGCCACATGGCTGGGGCTACACCAATCCAAAGCCAGGAGCCAGGTACCTCCTCCTGGTCTCCCATGCGGGTGCAGGGGCCCAAGCACTTGGGCCATCCTCCACTGCCCTCCCGGGCCACAGCAGAGAGCTGGACTGGAAGAGGAGCAACGGGGACTAGAACCTGGCACCCACATGGGATTCTGGTGCTGCAGGTGGAAGATTAACCAAGTGAGCCAAGGCACTGGCCCCATCCTCTGCTTTCCATCAAGCATCCTGCTGGGGCACGCTCTGAGTGGTATGAGACAATGGCTCAAAGAGTTGTGCTTATTTTCCCTTAAGATTTATTATTTATTTGTAAGGTAGAGTTACAGAGAGAGACAGAAATCTTTCATCTGCTGGTTTACTCAAAGCTGAGCATTTGAACCCAGGCGCCTGAAACCCCATCTGGGTCTCCCCCATGGATGTCGGAGACCCAAGTACTTGGGCTGTCTTTCAGTGCTTTCCCATGTGCAGCAGGGAGCTGGATCAGAAGTGGAGTGTCTGGACCTTGAACCAGCACTCATATGGGATGCTGACATCGTAGGCTACTGTGTAGCCCATCACACTCCAAAGCCAGACCCAGTACCCGTGTCCCTGACACCCTCATGGAGACCTGGATTGAGTTATAGGCTCTCAAGATGGCCTTGCACCAGCCCTGGCTGTTGGTGAGCATTTGGGGAATCAATCAGTGGATGGAACCTCTGTCTCTGTCTCCCTGTCTCTTTGCTTTTCAAATAAATTCTAAGCTGATGAATAATAACAGTGTAAAGATACATGGAAACACATAGGTACACATGATTCATAGCCACATGTGGCACAGTAATGTTTCAGTTGTGGATGGGCCATAGGTACAACAGTAGTGGCACAAGATTATCAGGGACCTGTGGGATTTCTGTTACCTGGTGACCTTCCAGCCATCATAAGCTGCAGCACAATGCAGTACTCATGGGCTTGTGGTGCTGCTGATCTAAACACACTTACTTTGTGAAAAGTTGTCTACAGAGTAGAGGACCTTTGGGGCCAGCTTTGTGCAGCAGTGGGTTAAACCATCACCTGTGATGCCAGCATCCCATATGAGAGCCTGTTTGAGTCCTGGCAGCTCTTTTTTTTTTTTGACAGGCAGAGTGCACATGAGAGAGAGAGAGGTCTTCTTTTTGCCGTTGGTTCACCCTCCAATGGCCGCTGCAGCCGGCGCACTGCGCTGATCCGAAGGCAGGAGCCAGGTGCTTCTCCTGGTCTCCCATGGGGTGCAGGGCCCAAGCACTTGGGCCATCCTCCACTGCACTCCCGGGCCACAGCAGAGAGCTGGCCTGGAAGAGGGGCAACCGGGACAGAATCCAGCGCCCCAACCGGGACTAGAACCTGGTGTGCCGGCACCGCAGGCGGAGGATTAGCCTATTGAGTCGCGGTGTCAGCTGCTGCTCTTTTTCTGATCCAGCTTCTTGTAATGCACCTGGGAAAGCAACAGAAGGTGACCCACATCCTTGCACCTGAACCCGCATAGGAGACTTGGATGGAGTTCCAGGCACCTGGCTTCAGCATAGCCCAGCTGAAGCCATTGTCTATCTGGGGAGTAAACCAGTGGATGAGAGATTCAGTCTCTCTCTCTCTCTCTCTCTCTCTTTTTCTCCCTCTGTGTCTGCCTCTCTGTAATTCTGCCTTTCAAATAAATAAATCAATATTTTTTAGAAAAAGACATAGACATGGGTTTGTTTCTGTGTTTTTAACCATATAGTTATGTAGCCACCAGAATACGGCCTGTCTCCACTGATCTGAGATCTCCCTCCATCACCCTCTGAATTTCCACATTCAGTTTAGCATGTGTCAGTATTTCCTGTTCTGTTGCATGAGTCTTTTCTGTTGCATTAGTCAGTTCACGATTCAACCCTACACTGTCACACTGTGCGACCCTGAATTTTTGGTTGACTTGCAGGAGCAGGGATGAACCCCTGTTCATCACCAATGATTCTCCTTTCTCAGAGCTTGTCTGACCACTCGTGCTGTGTCAAGTGCCAGATAAATCTGATAATCTGTCTACTCCATAGAACTGTACCTGGTATTTTTCTTGGATCTGAAATAAATTATTTTCTTGGACCTGAAATAAATTATTGAACATGGAAATTTCTTGTTTCAGAATGGGGTGTCTTACTGCAGAATAGCACATATCTTTCTGTTTGTCAATTCTGATGTTTTATGTAAGTTTAGACATTGCTTGTTTAGCGTGTATAATCATTTCTTTTTGTTTATGTATTCTAGTATGTTTCTCATACATAGGAAATTATCAGTTTCTGATGTTAATAGTTTACTACTTTACTAAATTCTTCTTTCGTTGGTAGTAACTTTTCCATAAGGAGGACTTCCAATTTGAAATCTTAAAATGAACAAATAAGGGGAGATTTTACCCTTTCGTTACTTCTAATTGCATGATCCTGGCAGTTGCATGTCAAGAGTCCTCTCAGACAACATCAAATGTCAAGGTGGGCTTTTGTCTTGTCCATGTTTACTGCAGGGAGAAATCCAGTGTTGTCTCCATTCATTGAGACTCTAGCCCTTGATCCAAGGTGTACGTGTGTGCACATTGCCGTGCTAAGAAATCATCCAGCGATTCCTGTTTCACTGAGTTTTTAAAAGACATGAATGAATGTTAATGCCGTGAGATATCTTCTTTTAGAAAATTTATGCATCTGTTTATTTGAAAGGCAGAGTCACAGAGAAAGAGAGAGACATCTTCCATCTGCTGCTTGATTCCCTAAATGGCTGCAACAGATAGGACTGGGCCAAGATCAAGCCTGGAGCCAGGAGCTCCATCTGGGTCTCCCAGGTGGGTGGCAGAACCCCAAGTACGTGACCCTGTTTCTCTGCCTTCTCAGAAGCATTAACAACAAGAAGCTGGACCAGAAGCAAAGTAAGCACAACTCAAATCAGGCACTCCAGTATTGGGTGTCCCCCAGGACAGCGGGGAACCACCAGAAGATGCAGGAGGCAGAGGAGGACTATGAAGCCGTGAGAGGGGCGTGACCCGGGGACAGTTGATGTTGGCCATCCCATATCCCGAATTGTGAGAGAACACATTGCTGGGGTTTACACCACCAAGTCTGTGGCACTCTGTGAGGGCAGCCCTGGGAACAGAACACCTCACTATTGTACCTCCAGTGTGGCTGATTGAGAATGAGCATCCTCTGTGTCCTGCTTCCTTGTGGCTATAAGGACGGTCATGTCCATGATGATACATCAGAAGTGTAAAAATGGCTCTGAGTTCTTATGTGGCGAGTGCTTTAGTGCGTGCTGAGCTGTGCATGCTCACAGCTCCCTTACAAGGTAGATCCTGTGGGGAACCCCATTGTGTGGAAGAAAAACAGTGGAACAGAGAGAAGGAGGCTTTGCTGTGACTGCACAGGTGGTGTCAGGACGGCATGGATTCGTACCCGTGCTGTGATGGAGCGCAGCCTAGGGACCTGTCAGAGATTTGTTGTCAAGTGCAAGCCATGGTCTGCCCAGGCACGTGTATTTGAGGATGTCATTGAAAGGAATATTTTGTATGTCGCTATGTTTCTGTGAATTCACTGTTTCTAATGAGAAAAATGGTGAATTGTCAGTGTGGTGAGAGCCTGGTCACGGCAGTCCTGGGGACAAAAGCAATCCTGCACCAGGGGGAGGACTCCGTGGAAAGGGAGGAAGTTAACAGGGGAGCAGGGAATAGAGAAAATTCTTCTTGCATAAGGAAAGACAGACAGACAGATAGACATGGGCAAGGGATAGGCAGTTTGCAGAGACACAAACGGAAAGAAAGGGAGACATGGAGCAGTTGAGTGTGTGAGGAGAGGTCAGAGGAGGGGTTTGGAGTTGTTTAGCTTCTTGAAACTTGAGCAGGTTGCAAAGTCGATGTGAAGAAGCCATCCCATCCCAGATTTTTAAGCCTTGAGGTTGCTCATGTGTGCACTCACTCTGGGTACTTTTATTTCCTCTGCAGAGTGAATGAGATGACTCCAGTGGGATTTTGTGGGTTCTGAGCTGATGCAGATTCAGATATTTGTAAAAGAAAGGATGACTGAGAGTCACAGACTGCTAGGGACTCTTGGGTTTTTGCCTTTTCAGCAGGCAGCAGGCGGCTGAAATCCTGGTGTGATGTGGCTGCACAATGTGAGACCTGCAACCCAGCACCAGAGACTTCAGCATAGGTCTAAAAGTTTCCTGTACACGTCTCAACCTGAGCACCGCAGGAGGAGCCACTGGGACAACTCTTCACATGGGTTCTGTGCCCGCTGACAGAACTCAGGAGGTGAGTTCACAGGGCTCTGGACTTGGGTGTGCTCAGAGGTGTGATGACCAGTGCTTATGAGATTATGAAATATCAAGAGGGCAGAGAGCCTTCTGGCTGTAAGACTCTGAACTCCGGGCAATCAGATATGTATTTGCTTCCCTGCTCTAGACGTGTGTGCCCCCATCAGGGGAAACAGTGAGACGTGAGGTGCACAGTGCCTGCCTTTGTCCTGGGCTCAGCCAGCCCCTGTCCCAACTTTTAATGGAGCAGAGAGGCCCCACGGGATCCCCCTGCTCTGGACAGTTTCCTCATTGACCCCCGGGGACAGCTCTGTAGGGGCGGTGCGGTCAGGCTCATTTCACATGACCCAGCTCAGCTCCCAGAGCCTCGGTCTGCTGTGCAGGTGGGTGGGGGGAGTGGCAGGAGGTTCTGTCCCTCGCCCTCCCTAGGGGACCCTGAGCAGCCTCCCTTCTAGAAGATGGGCCTCCAGCTTGAGACGTGGTCAAGAGGGCACAGCCCTGCTAGTGTGGCCCCGCGCCTCCCTGTACGGCCCCTCTCGGTGACAGGGGAGGCACCATCCCAGCCTCTGTGCCAGGAGCCCCGGGTGTGGGGCCACCTGAGGGGCTTGTCCCTGAGGTGGTGCATGGGCTCTGGACAGCACCTCTAGCTTTGTTCTTTTACAAAGTTGTATTCACAGTGGAGATCCTTTGTGTGTTTACATGAACTTTAACATGATCATGTCAGTTTCTTTAATAAAAAAAAATGGCTGTTGAGATTTAAGTGAATCCATCTGTCAGACTGGGAAGACTTGAGATGCTAACAATACTGAGTGCTCTGGTCCATGAACAGAGAGTGTCTCTAGCCAATTTACATCTTTATTTCTCTTAGCATTTTGGTGGTATTAAATGTAGATGCACTGCATATGTGTCATCAGATTACAAATAAACGTTTATGCTCTGATGCTTGCATAAGTGATAGCACATTTTAAAAAGTTTTATTCATTTATTTGAAAGGCAGAGCCACAAAGAGGCCTCCATATACTGCTTCACTCCCCGGATGGCCACAACGGCTCAAACTGAGCCTATCTGAAGCCAGGAGCTGTGGGGAGCAACTCGGACTAGACTGAGTTACTGGAATTAAGACTTATTCTATGCATCTGCTCTCCCACAATATGGCGCTGGGAGAGAAGAAAACGAGCTTCTACACAGCTGCCTCCAGTTCAGCAATAACTGTAGGACTTGCTCCTGATTGGAGAGCAGCGTACTCGGCGTGTGGGCAGCCGAGTTAGGATTGGTGGAGGAGGACTATAAAGGAGGAGAGAGACGGCATGCACCAGGAACATCTAAGAGGAACATCTAAGGGGAACATCTAAGGGGAACACCTGTGCAGCCCCCGAGAGAGCCGGCCGGCGGAGTGCCGCTCCCCTGCGGAAGTGGGGAATGTGGCCAGGGGGAACTGCCCTTCCACGGAGGTGGAAGGGATAGTAGCCAACCCGGGAAGAACCAGCAGCAAACCCGGGGAGGGCCGAGCAGACGAAAGAACAGCGCAGGGTCCTGTGTTGCTCCTCCACGAAGAGGGGGAGCGACAAGGAGCCAGGAGTTTTTCCCGGTCCCTGAGGCAGCTGCAGGGTCCCAAGGACCTGGGTCATCTTTCACTGCTTTCCCAGTCCACAGCGGAGAGCCAGATCAGAAGTGGAGCTGCCAGGACTCAAACTGTCCACCATATGGGATGTTGGCAATGCAGGCGGTGGCTTTACCCACCATGCCACAGCATCGGCCCCAATGATATCATATTTTTAAGATTTATTAATTTGAGAGGCAATGTGACAGAGGAAGGAAGAGAGAGAAAGAGATCTTCCATTTGCTGGTTCACTCCACAGAAGGCTGTGAGAGCCAGGGCTGGGTCAAGCCAAAACCCAGATCCAGGAACTCCATCCGGTTCTCTTATGTGAGTGGCAGGGACCAAGGACTTACGCCATCTTCTGCTGCTTTCCCAGGTGCATCGGCAGGAAGCTCTATGAGAAGCGGAGTAGCCAGGGCTCTAACTAGCACTTTGATATGTGATGGTAGTGTTGTAAGCAGCAACTTAATCCACTGTGCCACAGTGTGCATGCCAGTTTTTAAAGTACAGTTGCTGTGGGCAGGCGCTGTGGCCCAGCAGGTTAAAGCCCCAGCATGCAGCACTGGCATCCCATACGGGTGCCGGTTTGAGTCCTGGCTGCTCCACTTCCACTCCAGCTCTCTGCTATGGCCTGGGAAAGCAGTAGAAGTGGCCCAAGTCCTTGGGTCCTTGCACTTGCATGGGAGACCCAGAAGAAGCTCCTGGCTCCTGGCTTTGGATCGGCCCAGCTCCAGCCGTCGTAAGAGGACTCTGTGCACCTTCAGGCGAGTGGAGCGTGGTACCGATTTTCCTCTCCTTCCCAAAACTCCACTGGGACATTAGATGAAAAATTCTGGAGTCATGTATAATTTCTGTCACTTTGCAGCAATAATGATGTGTGTGTTATTTGCATTATCCAGTGCAATCAGGAAAAAATTAACGCGAGCTTTTCCTGTCTCACAGCACAGCATCTCCGGCCACCGTGACAGGTGCAGATTTCTCCCCACCACAGCTGATCAGCTCTGCAGCAGGTTTCCCAGTGGGCAGCCAGGCGACCCCCTACTTCCATTCAGCTCCACCACTGCCCACCGCGAGGCAGCTTCACATCCACAAGTGAGGGCCTGTTCCCACTGCAGATGCCAGCTTGTGACCTGGTCCATAAGCAAAGTGGAAGTTCTCTTCTCCTTTCAGAGAAAGGTACCTCCTTCTTTGATGGCCCCTTCTTTCCACTGGGATCTCACTCACAGAGATCCTTTATGTAGGTCATTTTTTTGCCACAGTGTCTTGGCATGGAAACATGCTGAAATGCTCTCATGGGCTTTTTAGCCAGATCTGAATGCCTTAGGGCTGATTCTGGACTATTGTTTAGGGTGTTTGTCATTCTGTGAGTCTGCTGTGTAGCCTGCTTCCCATGTTGAATCATTATCTCCTTTTTAATTCTATCTACTGTTATTAGCAGACACTTGGTCTTATTTATGTGATCCCTTTGACAATTTTTTTTAAACTTTTATTTAATGAATATAAATTTCCAAAGTACGACTTATGGATTACAATGGCTTCCCCCCCATACCGTCCCTCCCACCCACAACCCTCCCCTTTCCCACTCCCTCTCCCCTTCCATTCACATCAAGATTCATTTTCGATTATCTTAATATACAGAAGATCAGCTTAGTATACATTAAGTAAGGATTTCAACAGTTTGCTCCCACACAGAAACATAAAGTGAAAAATAATAGATGATTTTTTTTAAATGATGATGAAATCAGAGCAGACCTATTGTCATGTTTAATCCCAGTGAGAGTCAAGTCGGGAATTGATAATTTCTTTTTTTTTTTTTACAGAGGATCAGTTTAGTATGCATTAAGTAAAGATTTCAACAGTTTGCACCCCCATAGAAACACAAAGTGAATTATATTGTTTGAGCACTCGTTATAGCATTAAATCTCAATGCACTGCACATTAAGGACAGAGATCCTACATGAGGAGTAAGTGCACAGTGACTCCTGTTGTTGACTTTACAAATTGACACTCCTGTCTATGGCATCAGTAATCTCCCTATGCTCCAGTCATGAGTTTCCAAGGCTATGGAGGCCCTCTGAGTTCTCCGACTCTTATCTTGTTTAGACAAGGTCATATTCAAAGTGGAGGTTCTCTCCTCCCTTCAGAGAAAGGTACCTCCTTC